ATATAAAATTTTTTTATATGTGCTTGCTGTTATTTTAATAACATGGTATAGCAAATCAATTTGATATTTTATAATCGAATATTTATATCTTTTCTTATTTTAATTTAGAATATATTAACAATTTGTAGCAAAAAATAAGAAAAATTAAATTACTCTGTAAATTAATGATTCAATTAAATTATATTTATTCTAACAACGTAATGTAATGTAAACGCGTGTGTATCACAGTTTATTTATGCTTTAACAATGATTTCAGCCGTGATTCCGGCGGGCGTGAGTGTGGCATATATATGCACACAGGTGAAAGCCTCAGTAGAAGAGGAACAGAGCAAAGCACTGTGGATTCCTAGAGGAGGTCCCTGACATAAAAGGGGGGGTCCCCACAAGCCGCAGTGGAAGTCAATCTAAATTCCACCAGGGGGCCCTTACGTCGTGCATATTTGCGAAAATTGTTGTGCAAAATCAGTTCTTTCATTTATGGTCTCTTGATTTCGGAAGAAGGATATAACGCGCTTCACAGATATTTTTGTTTAACAAAGTATCGCTCAATTTGGTTGTGATAGGATGAATTCTTGCGAACTATTTTGTTTTAGCGCATTTAACTCGTTGAATTATCAATATAAAACAGGTACGTATAAATATTTTAATTTTTGTCACGTTTCTTTCAGTTATTCGAAAACTATTATTTTGCTGACTCAGTTATACAAAGTTCTTTTCACAATTATCCGCATCAGTATGTCAATATATAGCTCATCTGTGATCACTATAAATCTATTGACTAATCTATAGAAACAACTACAAACTAAATTTATTTTTGAAGGATTATCTCATGTTCTTCTTGGAATTGACTTTTTTGACGAATATTGTAAGTAAAAAATATTAATGAAAATATCATAAAATTGGTGCCTGCTCTTTCAAGTATCTACTTGCTCATTATTGATTGGCTAAAAATAGCAAACAATTAATGTTCGATAATCAGATTGCTCTGATCTCCGATCGCGTATGATCAAGTGATGCAACGGGAAATGCAGCTAAAGTTGATAAGACCAATAATTTATACGAGACCATAATTGGATTGTTATAAAAAAAAATACTCGTCGTATTATGGCCCGTTACAAAATTGGTGGATTAATATTGACGAATTAATGTTGATTAGAAAAATAAGTTATAGTCGTTTTGGCGGCTATCACATTGCTAATTAACCCCTCAGACCAAACTGATGTACAGATTAAAATTGATAAAAAGTTGATTATTCTAAGTAGTAAAATTGTGTATAAAAATATTTATATTGCATTATATATATATATTTACATGACGTTATATTACATGTATAACGTAATATATGTATATATAATTTATATTTATATATATGTAT